CAGGAGGGGCAAAAAAAAAAAAAAAGTAATGGATGTCTGGTTGCGGATTTCTGGGGGAGGAGGCCCGGGGGGCACCGGGACCCCCCCTCCCCAGGGCTCCCAAAGGATGGGGACACAACACACGACCCCCCTCCCCGAGCAGAGGGGAGCACAAAGCCAAGCCTGCCAGTGAAGCCCCCTCCCGCATCGAGGAAACGGCCCCCACCAAACAGACATCAAACCAGTCCCCCCACCAGCTGGAAAAAATAAACCAGGGACCCGCAGGAGGAAGAAGGCTCAGGGTTCGCAGGAGCAGGAGCTCGCTGGCATCTTGGGTGCGGCTGCTCCCGAAAAGCAGAGCTGGCACGGCAGCCAAAAATCCCTCTTCCCCTCCTGCCCCGGCTAAAGGCAACGGTGAAGGCGCAGCCCCCACTGACCCCGTCCCCCTCTCCCCCTGCCCAGGAGCCCCCAGAGCTTCGTCTGCAAGGTCCCCATGGAAGCAGAGTGCGGATCTGCCACGCAGGGACAAGGAGAAAGGTATTTCCCCTCTTCTCTAATCTCCCGCCATGCTCCCAGGTTTTCCTCCACGCCATGTCCCCCCGACTCTGAGGAAGCCAGGCAGTTTAGAGGTCAAAACACATCATTGTGTAAGTGTAATAAACCAAAAAGTACAGGTTTCCGCTCTTAAAATTAACAAACTACATGCAAGTTACAAAACCCCCCCCAAAACCAGCAGTTAATCAAATTCTTCATAGCAAAAGGCCAATAGAAGAGAGAGTAGAATCAAAAACCTGCTTCCCCTCACCTTCCTGCTACAGACAGGGAGAGGGGAGGACGAGAGACCAGCACTCCGTATGGCCCGGATAGAGCAACCTATTTGCTTCGGAGAACGTCTCCCCTGTCTCCCCACGCCCTAAAACAAGGCAGGGAAAACTAATTGTCATAACCGTAGGCCAGCTGAAGCTAAAAAAAGACCCCAAAAACCCCACCAGACCTCTTCTCAACTGGAGCCGGCGTCACAGAGCTAACATGGCACCCCCAAAAAGTGCATCTTTAGGGAAAAAAAAACAAAACAAACCAACATAAAACCATGAAGGTTGGGGTGATGAGGGCAGAGGAAGCGCGAGGGAGGCAGCCCGGGAAGGGTTAGTTTCCCCGGAAAGCGCTCTGTGCGGCTGAGGAGGCCGCTCCGGCGGCTGCGTTCTGGAAGCCCCTGTTGGTGAGGATGCCTTGGGAGAACTCTTCCTGGGCCCTCTGGAAACTGGTTCCCGTCCGCCGATACAGGGAATGCACCTACCCCCGCACCATGGTGGTAGGGACTCTTCTGCCCTGCGTTCACAGACACTCGCAGGGCGGGACCCGAAGGTGCCCGCAACTACAAACACCGGGCATTTCCTTCAAGGTACCACGCAGGAGAAAAGGAGGAGGAAGCCTTAGGAGAGTCCACTCTGCCCTCACCTTCCCAAAAGCTGCATCCCTGCTGCTAGCTGCAGAAATGCAACCCTCGTGTGGCGGACCAGGAGGAGGAAGGGGGCGGCTTGTGTTTGGGAGCCAGCGGGCAGGCGTTCGCCCAGATCCCGCCAGGCGTTGAAGAGTCCCACAGTGTTGTAAAGCCCCGGACACCCACCCAAAGCAGCGGCCTTCCCTGTGCAGCCAGCTCTGGACAGGCACCTGAGCCGAAAAGGAGGTGCAAGATGTTTGCTGCCTCTGAGGAGGGTGACGTTCGGGACCTTGCTGGCCATTATTTCGGGGCTATGTAACAGAATCGTCAGCAGCCAGCACCGCGAGCCTTGCTACCCCCTCCTTTATCCCAAGGCGCACAGTTAGCGGCCTCACCGCAGCACCCGCGCCTCCCCGAAGGTTGCGTTCCCATCTGCAAGTCCCCTCAGCGCTCAAGCGAGTTGGCACCGACGCAGGAAGCGCGAGTGAAAACACTTTCCTTAAAAGCTCTTATAAAATCACAGAACGGTTTGGGTTGGCAGGGACCTTAAAGATCATCTGGTTCCACCCCCCCTGCCATGAGCAGGGACATCTGCCACCAGCCCAGGTTGCTCAGAGCTCCATCCAACCTGGCCTTGAGCACTGCCAGGGAGGGGGCAGCCACAGCTTTTCTGGGCAGCCTGGGCCAGGGCCTCACCACCCTCATTGGGAAGAATTTCTTCCTCATATCTGATCTAAATCAGCCCTCTTTTAGTTTAGAGCTGTTCCCCCTTGTCCTACCCCTACACACCCTTGTGAAAAGCCCCTCTCCATCCTTCCTGTTGGCCCCTTCAGGTACTGGCA